GTAAACAACAATGTGTCGACAACACAGACTGATCGCAGTCAGTTAAAAAAAACATGTTTAATAGCCAAAGGTTTGTTTCTTAGCATTACTTTTAAATTATATTAAACCTATCTTTAAGGAAATAATATTCCCTACTCCCGTCAGCTGGAACACCTCCGATTTGATACATTTTCCGGGCAGTTAAAATAGTTGGAAATGGAAGGATCAAGGTAGCACTACCATAGACTCCCCCCTAACCCCTTGCTTGTATTTGTCGTGGGGAGGGGGCTTTGGGGACGGCCCAATGTAGGGGGGGTCACCCCTACCTTGGACCTCAGCCCTCGCCTTAAATAATTTTGCATGGCATTTTCTTTTCACCCTTTCCTTTCCTTCTCTTCTTCATCATCTCCTTCTTCTGTCCACTTCCTTAGGTGTGATAGCCATGCTGAAAGGATGAAAAGCTGGCTTTGTGTCAGTCATGAATAACCTATGGAAGACATGGGCACGATATACCCTTAGTTAATTGTCTAGCCCTTACCCCTCATGGGGAACCTGAGGAGTAGACTGTTTCCTCTCCTCATTTATTTCAGGCCAATTATCAATAACAAAGATGTTTTATCATTATTAGGGGCATTAAGGCTTACCACTTCATCAACTAGCTAATCTAAACTGAATTTCATTGGTTTTCTGACCCTTGCCTCTCCTTTGACCACAGCTACGACTGATACTAATACAACCTTTTTGATGTTTGCTATCAACTCTATCCATTCTGATTCTATCCAAGTCATTACTTAACCTTTATAATACACCCCTCCCTCTCTCTGAACATATTCTACTAAATCTTCTACTGCACAGCCTTCTTCATTATCTATCCCCACTCCTCTTATCACTATTCTTCATCCTTATTGTTCTCCCAATAGTACTCCTCTCTTCATACCACACCATCTTCCTCCTACCCTCATACTTCTACTGCTTCCACCTCTGCAAATCTTTTAAGTACCCTTTTTGGCCCAGCCAAGTGGGATCAATTCAAACACTGTTGCTCCACAGCCCGCTGCCCTCTATGTTCCCAACCTGGTCATGACTGTTCAAATTGCTCTGCTCATTCATGCACATGTGCCAATTGTGGTTGCTCCCATAATGTATTTTATAGAAGCTACCCTACCAACAAGCTCAATTCTGAGCTAACAGTTCTCAGATTCAAACTAGGCCTCACTCTATGTGAGGCTAGACAAGAAGCACGCACAAAGAGGTTTTTCTCTCTCTACCTATTTGAAAACTGTACTTCACTCTGCTCCCTTCTCATCTTCTCAAGAAGTCTCAGCATCTCTCTCATCTCTCATCTCATCTATCTCTTCCCTCTACCCTGAATCAGCCTATCTCTACTACCTCTCCCCCAGTCGAAAGCCTTTTTCAGTCTAAATCCAGATACTCCAATCTCTACCACTTCCCCTCCTTTTCACCCTACCTGTCACACCAGACAACCTAAATATTGCACTCCATCTCCTACCACATCCTCTCCTACATCCACCTCTTCCTCTGCTCCTCGGACATCTATTCCCTCTTCTTCTCCATATAAGAAAGCCTTTGTTTTTCAGACCTCCCCACCCAACTCCCTTGAAGACATCCAAAGGTTTATAAACATGACTCGAGAGAATGATCCACTCCCTCATCCACCCTCTAAACCCTTTAGTCACTCTACATTCAAAGCATCTGCTGATATCCATCATCCTCTTCCTTAAGTTCCCCCCTACCCCACTTCCTCCCACTCAACAAAAAAAAAACACCCCATCCTCCCCTCCTCCATGTGCATCACCAGTCCCTCTTCCTTCCCCATTATCCTTACCACCCCCACTTAGATGCTCATCTGACTGCCTTAAGTCAAAACAATGTCCTTCTGTGGATCCCTCTCTTCCTGACATTTTCCCCAATATTTCACCATTATTCCCTGTTCACTTTCATTCTCAGGATTCTTCTCTTACTTCCATAATTATCATTTATCAGTAAAATTAAACGAAAAGAGAAAAAAATAGCCATTCGTGTGCTGTGACAAAACTTTATGCCTCCCCTTTACAGTGTTATTTTCTCTTATTCTGCATAAACATTTTTAGTTTTATTGTGCCATTTTCCAATGTCTATATTTATCATTTGAGTTGCTTTATCCAGATGGTAATAAAATATTCACAGATGCCATATCATCTTTCCAGTAGTCTGTAACTCAGTGCAATAATGATATCAATAAGTACCATTTTGTTAATTACAATTTATTTTGTTTTTTCATAATATTCAGTTCTCTGTGTTACAACCAGAACTGCCAGTCACTGCAGCCAGGAATTGAATCCTGAACATGGAAATAGCATCCTCACTGGAACGAGCGCTCTTTCAGTCATGGCTCATGGGTTTATTGATGGAAATAATGCAAAAGCCCCTTCTTAACTACCAAATGACTCTAATCACTCTCCATGAGTTTTGTGCACTCATGGCAAGTCATTCCCATTTCCCAGGCCTTCAGCTGAAATGTTCACAAAGGCTAGTTTGCATCACCCCAGCCCATAGCCAGATTTTCCCATGATAGCATGTTCACATCACCTGTCCCTCAAGCCAAATTTTTTCATGGCATGATAGTCATATCATCCACATTGTAGGGGTTAAGAATTTGATCTTTGTTACTGCTTTTGTTGAATAAACATAGACCTGCTGTTATCATGAGGTGCTCAACTGTACACAAACTGTACACACTGTGGTATGGTACTGGTGTTTTCATCTGGTGTACACTTGTACATCAAACATAATTTTGATAAAGAATGGTGTTAACAGTATTACCAAAATTAGTAAACAAATATTTAAGGGGACTTGTACTTTATATTTCATAATATTCATAAATATCAAGCAGAGCAAATCTGGAGAGAAATGATTCAGTAAAGCTGCTAGAATAGAGACATTTAGACATTTTTTTTACTGTATCTATGAAATATACAACGGCTAATGATGTTTCATAGTACTTCAAATGAAGTACTGTAAATTTTAGTTGTAGCATTATTGAAAAGTTCAGTAGGATATTTTTTGACATATATTTAACAAGCTAATGTTACTGATATCAGTATATTTCCTCTGACTTTATTTTTGTACTGACCAAATTTAACAAACTCTCTTTACTCTATAGAGAAAGATAAGAAAGCCAGGAAGGATGATGGAAGATGCGAATGCTGAGTGCAAGAAGTTCTGCACGGAATGGGGACACTTCCACAAGGTGACTCGAATCTTGGTAAAGGCAATACGGAGAATACACCACGGAGTGAGAGCTGAACATGCGCAGCTCAAGGGAGACATAAAGACTTCAGGTTTAAGATCAAAATTTTTAACTAGGCATGAAACAGCCTTTAAAAAAGTGGTTATTGGCCTGCAGGATTATGCGGCAAATTTTCTGGAAATGGAAAAACAGTTCAAAGAGTTATCCAAAAATAGTAGTAAATATTGTGAAATTCAGTTTAATAGAGTAGTGGAAAAACATTCTCAGGTGTGTGTGCAACGAGATACAATACTTTATTCTGTAGAAAGTATGATAAAGGCTCAATTGAAAATCATAGCTGGAAATTTTAATGAAAATTCAGAAAATCTAGGGGATGCTGGAATCTTTAATACAATAGCTGCATATAATGAAGTCCTCATTGAACTCAAGAGAAACATTCCAGATAAAGAGGAAGATGAATATGAAGATGAAGATGAGGAAGAAAATGATGCTACACTTTATAGACTAGTAATGCCTGAAAATTTAATTCCTCCATTATCGTGCTTGAAACAAATCACGGCTTCTAAGATACTACAGATAGTTGGTCGAGAGAGGGCACCGCAAGTAACTAAGTGCATAGCAGATACTTTTATGTCAGAGTTTAAGATGCCTCCTGAAAATGGAACAATGTTACCCTGGAAACCTATAAGTTATAGTGCAAAATCAGGTTTGCTGAATGGTGATATTTTTGAAGATGCCATAGCAAAGGAAGAAGACGAAAACAAGTTAAATCAGCGGAAACTTGATATGGCTCTTCGAATGGAGTTTGGAGATGATTTTCCTGGAACAGACTACTTACCTGCAAACGATGCTGGAGATTGCAATACACCTTTGAACTGTACAAAAGTGAATACACTTATAAAAACCAACACTGAATTATTAGAACAGCTTGTGGACAAGTTTACTAAAACTACAGGTGTATTAGGTGAGCCAAGTCATCAGTTTAATCTTATGTGATGATTTGTTTCAATTTTACCAGTGTATTAGATAAGCCAAGTCATTAGTTCAATATTATGTGATGATTTGTCTAAATTTTATGTAATTATAATTTGTTACTGCTGAATAATGCAAAGTTGGCACATAGTAATTTGCTCACATAAATTTTTTTTTGCATGAAAAGACTTCTGCTTTTTGTAATATATAATTTTCATGCCAATTTTTTATCAGTGAAAGGAATGGTCAAGCAGAGCAAATCTGGAGAGAAACGCCTCACTAAAGCTGCCAGAAATAGAATTGAGACCTACTATGTGGAGAGAGTATGGGGTGAAGGTTCAGAGTTTGTGGAGGAACTTGTCTTATGGGTCCCTCCGGCAGAAAGGCCTCCGCCCTTCCCTCCACCAGCTTTGCTCACACCTCTTCAGTTGTTTCAATTACTTGGTATCTTCCAACAATACTGCAATAAATGTAAGTAATCTTATATTGATCTTGTTCTTTTCAGTCCTTTCAATTTTGTTGTGATAGAGATTTGTTCTTAACTGGGCTTTGTTATCATTGTAGTGTGAACGATAGTATTTTTGTTTAGCATCGTATCATGTAATGTAATATTTTATGATATCATTAGTACCCAACGGAACAATAAATGAGTATCCTCCCATCTTGAGCTAATTTCATTCATGACTTTAGGCAAGGAAATAGATTTGTTCATCATTTTCAGATTTATAAGTCTTATGTAGATTTGAAAATGAGAGCTGTAAGGGAGCATATTGTTTTAATTACTAAAGTTACATAAATCATTTGACAGTGGTATTATTTGTAATACACTGTACACTATAAAAACAAGGTATAATGTGATGCACATCCATGAAAGAAATCATTTAGTCAAATATGTAATGATATGTAGTAGATAAGTAACATACACCAACTGCAGTTTCCTTATGAACACAGTGTTAACTTTCTATAGATTTATGAGTATGTAGTTTGTAACCAAAAGGAATTTAAACTTTTGTTTGGCTTTTTCAAAGAGAACATATAATTATAGCAACTTGTTAAACTTTCCTTGCAGGCCTTATACCAGAATCTTGTTACACAAGTTGTGAGGGAATAGTTGATGAATGTCGACATTTAGCAACAACTTCATTCATTGACCGGAATATGGTCCGTGGTATCGGGACTTATGCTCGATCGAGTCCTGAGCCCTATAAGCTTTTAGATGGAAATTATTCTACTATAGGTGGTAAGGTTTCATGCAGTGAATTGTTGTATAGATTATTTTGAATTATTAACCCAATTGGCACGGATACAAGAATACATGCCATGCCCACTGTAATATAAGTTTATTGTATTGCATTTTCTGTATTCACACATAGATGGCTCTAAAAGTGGTTAATCACCAAGGAGTCACCTGTTTACTCTTTTCCTCGTCTTTTGGAAAGGGACTTTTGTATTATTTCATTGTCATAAATGTTACCAAGATTTAAATGACAGTTTTAATCATAACATCAATAACAATAATAACAGTATCAACATCAGTTGTATTAAATAGAAAAACACATTTTCATGCCAATTCAAGGAATGGGGAAATCAGGACCAGTAACTCCTTGCTGGCTGAGCACATGTGGAACTGTCTGTATGTAACAAAATTCACAAAAAAATTACAGGTGACAGAATATAAATCCATGGTGGTTGGGTTAAAGAAAAGAAGTAATATTGAGAGTAACTTTATGAAGTCTCTTATAGGTTTGATTGTATTTCTGTATTGTGTGATATTTCTTTATAGGAGATGGCATTGGTGATGTGGTACAACTGCTGGTGTGGGAAATTAATGAGATTGAGAGAGCAGAGGTTGAAAAAGAGCCCAAAGATTGGCCTGTTGGAGATGAGGTAAGGTGCTTCATTGCATTTCTTGTTGATAGAGTAAGGGTGAGTTAATAACAGCTAATTATCAAAGATAAAGACTATAGTAGATATACTTCATCTAATTTTCATTTATTTTTTTCCATCTTCATAGTTTACTTTTTATTCATACTCTGTATTTTTTAGGTTGGCCTTATCCTTAGACTTGGAGCAGTTGTATCTTCAACTCTTTCGTGGCTTAGACTTCGAGCAAGCTACCTACTGCACACTTGGAACACAGCACCATACTACCTCCTTACACAAGCTGACCTACCCAGGATCATTGAGGAGCTTAAGATGCTTCGGGTAAATTACATTAAAGCAACTTACTTTGTTATCTGTTGTTAAAGATACTTTATTTTGATGTTTTATTTTGAATTATTAACCCAATTGGCACGGATACAAGAATACATGCCATGCCCACTGTAATATAAGTTTATTGTATTGCATTTTCTGTATTCACACATAGATGGCTCTAAAAGTGGTTAATCACCAAGGAGTCACCTGTTTACTCTTTTCCTCGTCTTTTGGAAAGGGATTTTTGTATTATTTAATTGTCGTAAATGTTACCAAGATTTAAATGACAGTTTTAATCATAACATCAATAACAATAATAAAACAGTATCAACATCAGTTGTATTAAATAGAAAAACACATTTTCATGCCAATTCAAGGAATGGGGAAATCAGGACCAGTAACTATAACCAACTGTTACACTCCTTGCTGGCTGAGCACATGTGGAACTGTCTGTATGTAACAAAATTCACAAAAAAATTACAGGTGACAGAACATAAATCCATGGTGGTTGGGTTAAAGAAAATAAGAAGTAATATTGAGAGTAACTTTATGAAGTCTCTTATAGGTTTGATTGTATTTCTGTATTGTGTGATATTTCTTTATAGGAGATGGCATTGGTGATGTGGTACAACTGCTGGTGTGGGAAATTAATGAGATTGAGAGAGCAGAAGTTGAAAAAGAGCCCAAAGATTGGCCTGTTGGAGATGAGGTAAGGTGCTTCATTGCATTTCTTGTTGATAGAGTCCGGGTGAGTTAATAACAACTAATTATCAAAGATAAAGACTATAGTAGATATACTTCATCTAATTTTCATTTTTTTTTTCCATCTTCATAGTTTACGTTTTATTCACACTTTCTGTATTTTTTAGGTCGGCCTTATCCTTAGACTTGGAGCAGTTGTATCTTCAACTCTTTCGTGGCTTAGACTTCGAGCAAGCTACCTACTGCACACTTGGAACACAGCACCATACTACCTCCTTACACAAGCTGACCTACCCAGGATCATTGAGGAGCTTAAGATGCTTCGGGTAAATTACATTAAAGCAACTTACTTTGTTATCTGTTGTTAAAGATACTTTATTTTGATGTTTTATTTTGAATTTATTTTTTTATACATCCTAAGGCTTATGTTTTTCAGAGTAGATCTTATGATGAATTACATAGTGAGATTTAGCATATTATCACATATGGTAATTAGTTTACTAGAAGATTATTAGGGAATTAAATATCTTAAATGCATCTGTCTTCTTCTTTCTTAATAGGTACAAGAGAGAGACAATCTCATTAAAACAGATGACTTGGCACGTCTTTTGTATGCCATGTCAAGAGACAAGCTTGTTGTGATGTTGGATAAGTTGGTTGATTGTATCAAGGTAAGACATGTGGTAAATGAATCTTGTCTTTGACAGTAATTGGTAGTCATGGGATGTTTTCAGCTTGGTGATTTTTGGTTGTTTTTGTTGCTGCATCGTTTAGTCAGGAACTTTTTTGATGGTCATAATTCTCCTCAAAACAAATATTCAAGTACTTGTTTTTGGAAAATGCTTGATGCATACAGTAGATTGACATTAAAAGTCATGTATGACAATGCAGAATTACTACAAACTAAGAAACAAAATTAGGAAAGTAAGCAAACCTTTGTTAATGAGAGAAGCAATATAATTTTCACTTATCAGTAATATTGAACTTTGATTTGATTATCTTGTCACATTTTTCTTCTTTTTTTACAACATTCTTGAGAAACAGAGAGAAACCAAACATTCTTTCCCCAGGACTATGAACAGGAGACTGTAGGAGCTGTTAGTGCTGTCTGCCGCACAGTGAGCCTAGCCCAGCTGCAGAACTCTATGCCACATCCTCGTATTTGGCGAGGGATAGGGCGGATCCCACATGAACCTCACTACTATGTTTATGAGTATATCAGTAGGTTTTTGTTACATGCTTTTGGTATACCTGCTTGGAATTTGACCACACTGTGATTAATGAAGTTTTAATGTGTCAGAATTTGATTAAGGATCATTCAAATTTGTAATCTTTAGATAAGCCAGTATTGAGATTTTGGTGAAGTGGCTGTATCACTGAAAGATTATGTACCTAAGAAATTGTGTACTCAAAAGAGAAATTAATTGTGATCATTCAAAAGAGAGGTCTAATTTACAGATGCTGTGTTAGAGCCAGTTTTGGATGCTGTTTCAAAACTAGGAGTGGTTTTACAACGTCGAGCTGGAGCCACTGTTTTGAAGGTTGTTTGCTATGCATGGCTGGAACATATCCGTGTTCAAAAAATAAAGTTTTCCCTATGGGGAGCTCAGCAGCTCTTAAAAGGTAGATATTATCTTCATTTTTATTGCAGTAATTATTGTAGTCCAAATGTTTTGGAAGTTAGGGGTAATTGCTTTATTATTTTGATACAGTGTTTAAATTCTACTTATTTTTTGCTCTTTGATGTGTATGAAATCACTGCATTTTTTATTGTCATGATAAAATGTGTATATATAATCAGTGTTGTAATCACTGATAATGATCACTCACTTCTTTTGTTTTATAAGTGTGCTACTTATATTTACATAATAATATTATTGCATTACAAATCCTGTGAATAGGGAGTCAGAAAACTTCAACTGTGTGACAGATTTCCAATTCAAAAGAAATACACATAGGACTCAATGTGTTCTGTTTCAGATTTCCATGCCTTAGCTGAGTGGCTACAGAAATACCCAGGTTTAGCACCAGAAGCTCGTACCCAGGTGTTGGCTGTTGATGTGCTGCGAGAGTGTGAAGGTGTGGCTAGATTGCTCATGAGACAGCCCCCTCTAGTCGTAGGATACACATCTCAAAATCAAGTTGTACCTATGGGCCCCATTACTGCTGGTAAGAGAAGTTTATATAAAGGTTTTGTGACAGTTTTCTATGCAGATTATTTTTTTGTAGTTTATGTATCATTTTGACACATAAAGTGTGTGGGATGAATAATACTGATTTTAGGAAAGAAAGTACACAAATTTTCCTTTATATTAAAACAGAATTTTATTTGATTATAACAGATAATGTTTTATTTAAGTAAAAAATCTACTTAAAAATTTCCATTGCCACACAGGTCGAAAACATGATAAAGAAGTCAAGCTTAGCACAGATAATGATGACATCCCAGCAGAAATGTATGTACCCAACCAGCAACTGTGGCTGTCACTCAGGGCTCGGCCAGCATCCTCAGTGTGTGTCAAAATGGGTGCTTGTTGTTCTTGGCCATACTAAGAGGTGTTAACAGTGTTTGTGATCAGATGATTATGCAATTTCCCAATCCCCTGGCTGTTACATGTGATGTTGCAAAGGTTATTAACCTGTTCTTCAATTATCTCTTGAACTTATTCTTTTCTAAACAATTTTTCCCCTCATTCATGCACTGTTGGTACAAACTTCATGCATCATGCATATATATCTTGAGCAAAAGGTTAGCTATTAGCAAAGCTTTCCCAAATTAATAATTCATTAATATTACATCATTTGAGTCATTAATAAACTCATTAACTGCAAGAATATGCATTAGTTAGAATGCCATAATAAGTTGTAAGAATACTAGTCATATTTATCACCATGAGCTCTTACTAACTTAAATGTATTTAGTAAATAAAATCAATGTAATTGATTTTACAGCAATGCACAAATCTATAGTAAATGCTCATGAATGAACTGGCTGTAGTGCAGACCTGCACTTTATGGCTCATAGGTGAGTATTACATGGTTGGTCATTTAATATACAGTGATATTCCATCAGATGGATAGGTTAGGTATACTTTGTTGTATTGTTGAATTTTAAACTCTATAATTTTTTTACTAGCTTTAAAATTAGAATGCAACAACCAGGTTCAGTGTACCAGTATTTTCAAAACTTTAGTTTGTTAAATATCAGCCACACAGTTTAGTATTGAAATTTGATTTTATGCAGGCATTTAATAATTTTTTTAAAAATATGCTTTAGAACATAGAAATGTATATTAGGACCAGTATTATCTAGTAACACTGCTACACAAGGGAACACAGAAAATATAGTTTTTAGAAAAAAAAACTAAAAGTCATATAGGCAATACATTTTGTGCAGATGTGGAAATATATGGTAAAAAGAAGAAATGCTTAGATGCCATAATTTTCTAATAAGTTAATGATCATATTGCTTTTATTTTCTTCAGTGTCTTTTTTTTCCAGAAGTAATTTAATGTAAGAGATGTTTGATATATTGGTTGAGAAATCTATACATTTTCCTTTATTTGTCAGGTTATTTGCTTCATGTTATAATCATAACATGACAGAAACACCATAAAGCAGTTATTTGGATTTTTGACTGTCTTCTTGTACATTAATCATTACACATATAAGTTATAAAAATTATGGGAAGTGAGAAAGGAGAAAGAAATAAAAAGATAGAAATAAAGAAGTAAAGATAAATTACAAAGAAGAAAAGTCAAGAAATGATAAATGAAAGGGAACAAAGGGAGAAAAGAAGAAAGAAATTGAGTGAACTGGATGATATGTAAGGAAGGAAAGTAAGCAAAAAGAAAAGAAAAAACAAAGCTTAATAACTGAATAAAGGAACATATAAAGACAGGAGAAACAATGGAAAAGAATAGAGATGTAGAAAATTGGTGTTTTTTCCATCAATTTCACAATGTAGTGTTTATATATTTTTAAAATACAGATATTTATATGTGAAAACCAAAGAGATCACTAACAAAAATAGAGAAATTTGTATCATGATTTCATGAATCAGTTAAATTTATATGATGATCATAATGATCCCTGGATCATTTTCAACTCAAATAAATAAACATGATAATTATAATGCTGAAGTTAAAAGTTAAATTTCATGAATATTTCAACTTCAGCCTATCAGAGACTCCCTTTTCTTCAGATTTGTACTGAACAGAATACTCAATTTAAGCAATAATCTTATTCTGTATTTAATCTGGTATTAGGACTTTTTAAAATATTTTCAATCTTCCTACTTATTTTGACTTTTGCTGCTTATATGGTAATACGCTTTAGATAAAAGATTTAGGTGTATTATATATACCTCAGATATATCATGTTATGGGATAGTCAGGATTTAAACTGCTAAGAATATAACTATTATATTGTATATCTAAAAGTTACTAATGTAGTGATTAATATTTCTAGTCCATATGCTTATTTCTTTCTTACTGAGCATTTTTGAAATTTAGAAAAATGGAATATATTAATTATTAAGCCATAATTGATAACTATATTTACACAATTTCCTATTCACATTTTTTATTCTTATTTTTTTACTTTCATTTGTTTATGATATAATTCTTTGTTTTACTCCAGTCTTATATATGTCATATAGATGAATATATTTATAGTTTACCCACTTTCAATGACAATAAAATTATTAATACTAAATATTTCTTCATATAATAGAAATAATTTCTGACTTCACTTTGTCTAGTCTGTTTTTATAAATAGTACTGTGTCAAATAAAGGCATTTAGCAACTGAGAAAGATCTCATTGCACAAAATTTTATATTAAGTAGTGTGTATATATGCATGTATAGCATATGTTATAAATGGTGTCTCAGGAAATACAGCAGATATTTGTTGAAGTGAAGAAATATGTGATTCTGAGTAGAAAATCTGTACAACATATACCTCTTTCAGATTACTTAAGGCATGAGCGTTCAACTTCAGCCTATCAGAGACTCCCTTTTCTTCAGATTTGTACTGAACAGAATACTCAATTTAAGCAATAATCTTATTCTGTATTTAATCTGGTATTAGGACTTTTTAAAATATTTTCAATCTTCCTACTTATTTTGACTTTTGCTGCTTATATGGTAATACGCTTTAGATAAAAGATTTAGGTGTATTATATATACCTCAGATATATCATGTTATGGGATAGTCAGGATTTAAACTGCTAAGAATATAACTATTATATTGTATATCTAAAAGTTACTGATGTAGTGATTAATATTTCTAGTCCATATGCTTATTTCTTTTTACGGAGCATTTTTGAAATTTAGAAAAATGAAATATATTAATTATTAAGCCATAATTGATAACTATATTTACACAATTTCCTATTCACATTTTTTATTCTTATTTTTTTACTTTCATTTGTTTATGATATAATTCTTTGTTTTACTCCAGTCTTATATATGTCATATAGATGAATATGTTATAAATGGTGTCTCAGGAAATACAGCATAGATATTTGTTGAAGTGAAGAAATATGTGATTCCGAGTAGAAAATCTTCTGTACAACATATACCTCTTTCAGATTACTTAAGGCATGAGCAGGATTTTAACCCTTAAATGACACGTGGCATAATATTTTTTAAAATGTGAGGATGATAGAATTTTTGCCCATCTGACAGGGTCACCTCACAACTCTAGGCCCTTATTTAGGGGTTAAAAATTCCAAAAGGTTTGAGTTAGTAATGGCAGAGTCAAGGTAGGAAAGTGTAGATACAACTAATACAACATAAAAGCTACCACTGTTTATTTTGTATATCTTGCCTTTTATCACCATACTGTCCTCTTGTATTCTGTATTGGTGAACTACATGTGCTATTAATTGTGTGACTCTATATTTTAATACTCTGTAATTTTCCATAATTTACATTTTAAAAATACAAATAAATTAAATTGCAGCTGTGGAACTAAACTTCTTCTCAGAATCACATCTCTTTCATGTCAAAGATATCTGACTTAACTTATGAGACATCTTGTGTAGAGTATACTCTATGTGTATATATACAAATATATACACACACTGTTTGTACTATAAATACACAATTTTAATTTTCATATCAGTTCAGTGATGAGGTATTTTGCTTTTGATAACGAGGTGTTCATTTTTTCCATAAATTTGGTATGTGATGCTTTGATTATTAGCCTCTAGATGGTAAACTAGAATTTCCAATAGGGGAAAACATCACACAAACACACACACACACACACACTCACTCACTCACACTCTCTCTCTCTCATTCATTCATTCATTCATTCATTCATTCATTCATTCATTCATTCACTCACTCAGTCTCTCTCTCTCTCACATATATACAGTATATGCATATACAGATGCATACATGGACAATTGCATATACATATATGATTATATTATTGCCTGTAATCTGTTTAGGAACACCAGAATGGTACTCTTTGTTAATCATCTTAAGATTAACAATTTCTTTATCATCATGTAAGGATGTCAGGTGTCAAGTTTTACCTGGCTAATAAAGCAATTCAGTCAATTACAATATAGCCATTGACAGTGTGGTAAAGTTGCAGGGTGGTATTTGCAAGTTAACTAGAACTTTGAAAGCTATCAAAAAAAGGTCTTGTAATAGGTGATTGGTATTGCCATTTACGTGTCTGAGCAAGTTTAAGGGTTAACAGATAACCAAACTGAATGAGATACAATGGCAGGTTTGAATAAAATGAAAAGGAGAAAAATCTAGCTTTTAATTACAAACTTAAACATATTATCTTTGAGCAACCAAATAGTTTTTCTTAGGCAACTTGCATAACTGATGCTAGAACTTTGATAAAAGAGCCATTTATAAATAATTAAGTTCTTATTCTAATTAAAACTGTATATAAAATAATGTTTTAAAAATCCTTATGACACATCTATTCTTGTACATACCTTAAAACTTTACCAGTTTTCAACAGGTTGTTGTTAACATTATCTTGAAGTAACCGCTTATATATGAAAATTTTAATTTACATGCATAAAATTTGTCCAGTAATACGTAAGGTAAAAATATCCAGTTTTCCAGAGATCCATAATGCAATAATGAAACCCAACTTTTTAATAAACTTTGCACTTTAACTTTCCTATGAATAAAATTTAGATAAACACCTAACTTGCCTTTCTTATGTAGAGACTATAGCTCAGCCACCAGGCAGTGATAAAAACAGAGCATGTATCAAATGTTTTAAAATGAAGTAATCTTGCAAATTTCTTCCATATATGCATGAGTAATATTTGATCTACTGTACATAAATTTTGGTGTCTCCTAAACCCATTAATGTTTCTGTGTACAAATCTAAAATAAAATTATATAGAAAAAAATAGGCTTTAAAGGGCAAATCTTTCTGAGTTGAGCTCAGGGAAGAACTGCTGCTGCTTTATCATTATTTAAATGAACTTTTGTTTTCTTTCCGTCCAATGTAGGAGCAGAAATGTGAATGCATGACTTTAATTGAAGGTTTTGGGTACACTCTGTAAGTAGCATTAGAGTGCAACTATATAAAGAGTAGAGGAAAATTGTTTGACAATAAACAAATTCTTAATATATGTGTTTCTTAATACTATGTCCATGTGATTAAATTTGTTTGGATAACCTGCTGATGCTGAGATGGCATGCAATATATGCCATATCCACTGTGATTTTGATTTACTAATTTTGCTTTGGAAAGATTTTCACTTTTATCTCTTATTGCTGTTAGTAATGGTAAGATTATAATAATCCAAATACCAATACTACTACTACTACTACTAAGAGTAGAAGTAGAAAAAAAAATCACTAACCTTCATGATACAAAGATATCAGATCTATGTTAATTCATCCTGATAAGTGACCCCTTGGTGACTATGTATTTGTGGAGCCATCTATTTGTATACAAACCTCTCATAGCAAAACTACAGTGGACAGTGCAATTGCCTGGTGTCTAAAGATTAAAGGCTGTAACATCTCCCAATATTATGGTATTCATAAGGCACCATAAAATCATTAATATGAGCAATTCATCTGAAGTTCATATTATATTATCACTTTCTAACAGTTCAGACTTATACTGACATTCTATTATTAATTACAAATAAAGCTTACCATTTTCTTTATTAAGTACACGGAATGAAATTAATGAGGAAATCAATATTCAAAACACAGAAATGTGAGTATACTTTATTGTTAAACCCAAATGGATTTAACATTAGTAACATCCATTAGCAACATTAAGACACAATTGAGAGCTGCAAATATTTAACATTTGTAGAAAATTTAATATTGATAAAATTTGACCCATGTAAACAATAATCGTCAGTGTACAGAATTAGTGTGAAATGTTACAGGAGATATGACCAGGGCATTTTTGGCTGTCTTTACCAAACTATATATTCAATAGGAATGAAACAAAAGCACAAACCTCAGAAGTGTCATAATGGGCACAGTTACAATTATCTCCTATTTACAGTTTAATTCTACTGTCACAAGAATACAGTGTGACCTATGGTTATTAGAATTTAACTGGGCATGACTTTGATAACTGAATACTTCCAAAACAATATAAAAAGCATGATAATTTGTGTAACTGTATCTCATTTTTTTTTTAAACATCAGACTAGATTGTGAAAAAGACCAAAATTTCGCTAAACAAATGGAAGCTAGAACAATAATAATGAAAAAAAATATGATAATAATTATAACCTTAATAGTAACAATGATAATAATAGTAAGCATCAAAATAACAACTAATACTAATACTTCTGCTAATGATAATAATGAAGGTAATAATGATGATGATGATGATGATAATAATAATAATAATAATAATAATAATAATAACATTATACAGTAATAATAAACAAATAATTATAATAATAATAATAATAATAAAAATAATATTACTAGCAAATTAATATATTCCATAAATTCAAATAATTCCCTTTTAATTACACTAAGAGCCACACCTACATATTTAACATCCTTCAGTGTATTTTTTTTTTTTATTGTGCAACATCCTATGTTTACAAAGTTATTAAGAACTTTATGATGGTCATATACAAAAGACACTTCTCCTACTTTGACACTAAATATAAAATTAAAGATTTTCTAACTGCCCATAATACATTCAAGAAGGAAACTTTCCTACACAAATTTACTAAAATACTCATGCATTTGTCACTACATAGCCTGCTAAGCCACAAGTATATGTAATGACAAGCATTACCTACTGATATATGTATTTTGAAAAATTGCTACAAAAGAACACTGAAATGCTTTTAATTCTTTGGCTTTAAAAAGAGAGAGAGGAAATGATAAACTCAAAAGAAAAAAAAAAAGAAAATAAAATCACTTGGTATCTTCAAAAGACTGCTGCAGCTTTGTAATAAACTAGATAAATAATGAAAGTTAAACATTCACAGTACTATGTTTTACAGGCCATAATCTTCACTAGAAATATATTTCTGCCAACACATCTCTTGTGAACATAAATGATCTTCACTAACAAATGTCAAAGGTCACTCTCTGCATGAACTATATTCAAGAACAATTACTTGGTCAATCTCACCCATCTCAGAGAGTCAAATGAAAGAAGGAAAGAACAAAAGAAGATAAAAATCCAGCAAATACTTAACATGTGCCTATCCTTAGCCAAAAACAGACTCTTCGTATGAAGAAGTTTACAATTTGTTGTTGTTATCTCCATGAAATAATGTCTCATTAAATTATTCATGATAGTTTAATACATCATCAAAGTCCAGATTTCTATTGTATCAAAGAAATAAATTTGTATTGTGCAGTGCAGGTATTTTCAAATTTATAATGTATAATGAAGGAGTTAGGTAATGTTGTTGTGCTCTAATTGTTTTTATCCATCTGTAAGTAAGACAAAATATATACCAAATAAATTGAACTTGCTCTATACATCAAGCAAGCATGCAAACCGACATACCATTCAAGTACCAGAATCATTCTAGGCTACTAAAAGTCTCAAGATGAATAACAACTTTAATTTCTAGACTTTCAAAATCAAACTTAAATAATTCATACCAAGAACAAAATTTTCCTTCATGCCAAAGTACTCTCGGTGTAAAAAAGAAAAGAAAAGAAAAGAAAAAAAAAATCATATAGTACTATAATATCAATGCCTTTTGTCTATAACACGATCACATCAAGAGTTCTCCGAGTTATTTTACTTTACAGAGCAAACTGTAAGTCTAAACTACAATTCATATGTAACCAAAATAGTTCAATTTCAAGTATATACTACACAAGGTACCAAAACATATTTTTAAAATCTCTTCTTACTTGTTTACATTTATTCATGCCCATCAAAAAGTTGGTATAGAATAAAGCTAAGAAGGTACTGAAAAAAGTATGTGGAAAGGCTTTGCAATAACTAATACTTAGGAGAGCATATAAACTAATTATATATCGCAAGATATCTAGACAAATAGATACACATGTACACACAAACTATCTGAATAACTACTTTTGTTTCATTGCTTCCTGCATGAAAAGTAACACTATTCAGACTTTTATTTTCAATAGAATCTTATTATACAGACATATATACAGGTGTGTGTGGTACTACTGAGGCCAACTCTAGACACATGAGCTAGTTTTCTTTACTTTGCACATTCATAAAATATGATGAAGAATTTCTAAACTTAAGATATTGCTAAAAGTAAGGAAACTTCTTTGACTGTGGATCTTTCCAGAAAAAAAAGAGGAAAATAAGAAAAAAAAAATTGGGCACTTTATGAAAAGTGACCAATTGAAATGTAAAATGTGCCAAAAAATAGTATGACAGATCATTATTTCAGCATACAAACAATTCATACAAACATATATTTCAAAGTATTTTTTGTACATTTATTAGGTCCTGTGATAAGGAAAGTTAGTGGAATGTTAATGCCCAGAAACTTATGATCCAAATTGAGGAAAAGAAGGGGAGTTGAAAAAAGGAAGATTGACTGAGATATCAGCACCTATCTTAGTATTAAAAAAAAAAAATTGTTTTATATGCTTGTGTAAAAAGGGCTTCCGGTTTGCATGCATGCATGTGTATGTGAATGTGAATGTTACTGCTAACTTACAACCATGTAGCATGTAGCACCTAATTCAGATTATGCTTTTCTGCCATTTCTAACACCAAATGTCAACATATTGTTTACATTTTGGTGTAAAGATAGAAATTTACTGCATCCAAATACTTCATTAGTGTGTAGTCTGGTTAAACATGAACACTGATTTTTGACAATGATAATATAGTAAATTCTTTGAAAATGCAACCCCCTTCAGAAAACTATTTGTCTAAATATAATTTGACAATCTTCAAAAAGCACTGAAAAGATCCAGGAATGTGCAAATTCCTGCTTTTTCACATTCAAAGCAAATTGTACAAAGCCATGAAAAGCATGGAATTAAGAAGAAAATGGTATTCCCATATCTTCTATAAAACACCAGGGTCATTTGTGATAGCACTTACTTTGTGACCAGGTTCAAAACTATTCTCAGAACTTTGGTTTTGATATCTCTTAATGGATAACATCTCCCACCACAGTTCAATAGCAATGCAACCTTTATGACTTGGAAGAAATCAATTCTTGTACTGCTTCATTATACTACTCACTGATGCTCATGACAACTATATCTAGGCCTTAGTCAGGACTTGTTTAAAAGAAAAGAAAAGAAAAAAATACTGAAATAAGTAATACTCTATCCAAGTACTTGAAGATCACCATGTTTCTTGGTAAAGAGGTAATATCATTGTAATAATAAGTCATTATCCCAGACCTATAAATCATTTGTGACTTGTAGTACAGTACAACTATTACTCACCTTTATTTGTAGAGGAAAGAACAAATTTATGCTGAACAACAGTCTACACCTAGTGTTAGGTGTGCTTCATCTAACCAAAAATAACTCATCAACATCCTTCCAACATTTTTTTTTTTGTCTTATCAATAAATAATAGAGAATGATGTTTCCTGACTAATCCTCCAGCAACAGACTGCGACCATAAACTACTGCAATGTATGCATTTTCAGTGGTCCTTTACCCCCTTTCCACAAACAAACTATAAACTACCCTACAGAACTTGTCGAACATAGCCAAAAAATCTTGCCTTCACCACAGGGTATGTTTAAGAAGGCTAATGAGATTATCCTTGGTCTCAAAATGTCTCACCCAGAATAACAATGTGGAGGGCATGTAGGACGTGGAATACATGTTTATTATTTACAGCATGAGATACTTTAGCAAAATAAAATATCTGACAAAAAAAACATCAATGACTATATAGGCCAGGTATAACTACTAAAAAAAAAATATATATATATATATATATTTATATATAATTTGCTTTTGATGCTTTGAAATTAAGGAGAGAAGAAAGGCAAGAAATAACTGCCTTAATCCTTATAGGTCAAAAATGATTTTTTCCATATATAATACAAAAAAATTTAACATCATTTCTGTGAGTGATAGAGAGAAAGAGAGAGAGAGAGAGAGAGAGAGAGAGAGAGAGAGAGAGAGAGAGAGAGAGAGAGAGAGAGAGAGAGAGAGAGAGAGAGAGAGAGAGAGAGTGTGTGTGTGTGTGTGTGTGTGTGTGTGTGTGTGTGTGTGTGTGTGTGTGTGTGTGTGTGTGTGTGTGTGTGTGTGTGTGTGTGCACATATACATATATACATGCATATATAATACATATATATGTGTATATATATACACTACACACAAACACACACACACACATGTGCGTGTGCATGTACTTCAAATTGTCCCATTATTTTTTTTCTTGATTTCTGCCACATTTTCCATGTTTATGTAGGTTACTTTCAAAATAAACTTCAACAGGAGTTGACTCCACATTATAGGAAGCTTTCAAAATAGTCAGCACTTCTCCATAAAACCTTTTCTGCAAAAAATACTGTAACCAACAGAATACTGACTTCAAGATAAGATAATCAAAAACTTCATCTCTGATGCATGTTTTTTTTTATAAAAATAATCTAACTTAATCAAAGGAAGAGAAAAAATAATAACTATAAAAAATATACTCTGATACTAAATTTTTACCTGGTAAGACATCTGCCTTCCTTTCAAAATATAAAGCTCATAACAACAGCTGCCACATTAGCTTCAGTGCATTTCTGAAGCATCCATGGAGGTGGAATCCTCAGATGAGGAGGAAAATGTTCGTGTAGGGCCGTCAGAGGAGGTGGAGGAATCAGATATATCCATACTCAGTCGCAGCTGAAACTCTTCCATGGTAGAAGTACGTTCTCCATCTCTCAGGACCACTGATGACCGATGTTCATGAGAACGTAGTCTGTGAAGACAATTTCATTAAAATAAATAATAAATAATAAAGAAAATCATGTAAAATATCTTTGGAAGAAACGTTTTAAATGCTGAGGACAGAAATCTGCCAAACATTATATTAAGAAATTTATATCAAGTAGCAAAACCAGTTCAAGCAACTAAATGTGTAGGAGTTCCAGTGTGGACAAAGAAAAAGAAAGACAAATAAAAGGAAAAATAAGAATTAAAGGAAAAAAGAAACAAAAAAAAAAAGGGGGGAAGGAAAAGAAAAAGTGGAAATAGGGGAAAAATATATAAAAATGAAAGAGACAAAGAAAAAGAAAAAGAAAAAAGAAAGAAGAAAAAAAATTCTATACATGTTTTTTGATGTATCACTAATCTCAATCTGAGTAAAATGGATCAGGCAATGAAAGTGGATCATGTAATGAAAGAACACAGTGTATACATCAAGAGTATATATATATATATATATATATATATATATATATATATATATATATATATATATATATATATATATATATATATATATATATATATATATATACATATGTATATATATTTTTTTTTTTTCTCCTTTTTCTTTATCTTTCTTTTTTCTTTTCCTTCCCAGATTTTTTCTTTGTGGATATTCAAATGTTTTGAAAAAAGAAGCAAAATCATACAACCTTTAACATTATTTTCTGTACATCTTGTAAGTCTTCTAATGATAATAAAAAAATATAAATATATAACTTAACAGAAGCTAAAAAATTGTGGTTTTGTGAAAAATTCTGAAGAAAATTAATCAATATTTCAGTTCCTTTTCAACAACTTTCCATTGTTGAAATTGTTTCACCTAATTACCATAAACACTTAATTCACTTCTCTTCCAAATGCTGTTTGTTGCATTAAGATATATAAAGTTCTTCCCCAGTTAAAACAAAAATATTACAGACAAACCTGTGAAATGGGGCTACATCCAAACTTTGGTACTATGACCATTATCTAAATGTAGGTACTGCTTGTCTGCTTGTTTTGTGAGGAATCCCTTATAATCAAACATTTCTGGCCCCCTGTGATAAATTTCAATGGTTTTGTTGAAATACAGTATTTCACTTTCATGCTAGTAGTACTTAGAGATGAAATTCACTCACCAGCAACTGGGCAGTTTGGGGTTACGCTCGTTATGCCGGCTAGTTTTGGTTTGTGGGACAATTGTTAAATATTGTAGCTTTAGAAACTAAGCCAAGGAAATTATAATCCAACACCAGATATAATTCTCAAAATACATTCAACTGACCTGACAGCAGGTTCAGATGAGGCATGCTGCTGCTCCTGTTGTTGCTGTTGTGGTTGTTGATGCACATTGTTATTGTTGTTTCTACACACTGTAGGTTCAGGGACACTGCTACTGCTTGGCCCTTCTTCTGGAGTAGTCCTAGCCCTACATCTTGTCTCATTACACCGGGATTGGGGCTCGAGTGGATTTGTCTGTGTGCCCCGATTCAAGTCATTAAGAGGTTCTGAGGCTGCATGGTATGGTGGAGGCAGGTCACTGGGAATTCCACTGTGATCCTCATAGACTTCATCAGACCTGAGAGTAACATCTATTCCATGGGCACCATCAATATTCCGGGTAGATGCCCCAGCCACAGGTGAGTGCCACATTCTTGTGCCATTGCTACTAGCGCCATCCACTAGAGGTAGTACCCCATCACTTAAATCTGAAGACTCACCCGGAGGGGGGCCAAGTTGCACCATGAGGGGACCCAGGGATGGCAGAGCACCATTAGTTTCAGAGAGTCTGTAAGAGCTGCCCACAACTTCACTATAGGGAGGTGGTGCATCATCATGAGGGAAATAAAAGGATGGTGGCTTCCACAAGTAAGGAGGAGTATGGCTATCTACGAAGAATTCAGCATGATCATTCCCATTGCAATAAGCAGCATTGTGGCAACATGCATTATTGTGGCAGGCATCTGTAGAGGGACCCACTGGCGAGTCTAACTGATCTTCATAATACTGTTGTTGGGCTGTAGGATACA